GCATGGCAGGAGCAGCGCAACTTGGCGCGTCGCTCGGTGTTCACCAAGTCCGGCGCGACGCCGACATGGGTCCTTGTGGACCCTGACCTCGTGGAGGCCTGGGCCTGCGACCGTTTGGTGACCACCGTGGAGACGACGGCGTGACGGTTTGCCCGCCTCTACGGGGAGCTCGCCAAGATCGGCGTGGAGTGGTCGCTCATCAATACCTCCGCCGGCGGCAAGGGAAGGACAAGGTCGGCATTGGCCAAGGCGGCCCTCCGTACGGTGTAGGAGGAAATGGAGCGACTCCTTTGCGAGCGCCGGGCGGCGGTAGGCAGGGCTATCGCGTCCTTGCGCCTTTTGCCGCTGGGAGGGCCGCTACGACGATGACACAAACGGTGACGAAGGTGCTGTCGATCAGTCCTACCAGGCGTACGAGATCACCGTCCGGTAGGAAAGCTAGTTTAGTTTTCTTTTTAATGTTTTTATAAAGGTTTTATGGTTGAATGAACAAAATATCGTATGTTTATATAAATTATTATGTCCGAACTTATGCCCGTTTGAATGAATTTGATCGTGTTTGCATGGATTACGTACAAATTTGTTTGTATTGCGGGTGGAACAGGACGTTGTAGTAAGGGCTGCTGCCTGCACGGGCATCCGTGCATGGTAGAATTGCTTCTATCGGAGGCGTGCCATTACCGGAGTATTGGCTATTGACTTGTCCGTCCCTTGCACGACGCAATGTGTCCGTCGTTCAAAATACAAATCCTCTTCAACGTTGACCCCTCTACCAACCTACGTCCCATCAATAAATAATAAGCTGCGCGCCCCTGCATGCATACGTACACCTCAATCGCGATCTACAAACGAGCAACTCGCCGATCAATCGACATGGCGTCTAGCACCAGGTTTGCTCCCCTCCTCCTCCTCGCGCTCGCCGCCCTGGCCGCGGCGGCGCTCGCCCCCTCGGCGTCGGCGGCGGCGGCCGGGACGGAGTACTGCCGGGACACGCTGGGCGGCCTGCTGGCGTGCCACGCGTTCATGTACGAGGGCGCGCCGGCGGCCTCGCCCGCGTGCTGCGACGCCTATAGCGCCGCCTTCAACGCCGACCCCTTCTGCCTCTGCTACATCGCCAACGGCGTCTACGGCCGCTCCACCGGCTACGACGTCAACGTCACCCACGCCCTCGAGATCCCCACCAGCTGCGGCCAGGTCCAGCCGCCCATCCAGCTCTGCGACAGTAAGTAGCCACCGTACAAAGCCTCTCATGACCGATCGAACTCCTCTCTGCCTACGTGCATGCGCGATTGTACTCTGATCCGATCGACTAATTGATCGATGAATTTTGCAGTGCAAGGAGTGGTACTTCCTCCCTACGAGCCGGATCAGTCTGGACCCATGGCCTCGTCGCCGGCAGCGCAGCCACCTTCAGGTATACTGGTTGTTTGACACTTAGATCGCTAGGAGAAGCTTTCGGCCAATGTCTGATCAGAGCTTTGATTTGACTATTAATGCAGCAGGATCGGCAGAGCCACCACGGTCGGCTCCTGCGGCGCCGTCGTGGACTTCCCCGCCACCGCCACCACCACCACCAACAACAACCTCCGGCAGTGATCAATCCTCGGCGCAGATGGCCCTCGTGCTCTTCACCGTTGCTGCCGGCATGGTCGCCGCCGTGGCATGAAGATGGGACTAGCTATGATATCAGGACTTGCAGATTAGGAATATTAGCTGCAGTTTGAAATTTAAATTAAATCATGACATATATGTTGTTCGCAACATGTAATTATGTAATAGACTCAATATATAGGTTTTTTTTTCTTCTTTTCTTTGGTTAATCAAATAGTTAGGAGTTAGAATGAGACTTAATTACTTCTCATCTACTCCCTATAAAAACTTTTATAAGACGTTTTAAATCACTTAATTTAAAACGTCTTATAAAAGTTTACAGATGAGCAGATGAGTATTATCAAATCCGTTGTTTTATTAGCAAACTTCTAGAACTGACATACATAATCTGCCTATACCCAAGTGCATGCATTAAATCGGACAGGAGGTTCTAAAAAGGTTACTTTACCCATGTACATAAGAACAACAATGTAATTTTAAGGTGTCAATAGAACATAGTCAAGGTACTTGTCTTGGAAGGATTGGTTCCTATGGTCCTCACCACTGCCACTCTCCCACGGAAGCAATGCTTCTTCCTTTCTTTCACGAGAAAAAAATTACAAATTTATTCATCAACTGTCAAGGTAGTACGAAGAACATCAGAAGTAAAATTTACATTCGGGTTTGTAGACCACCTAGCAACGACTACAAGCAGCGAGTCGAAGGCGTGCCGTCGTCATCAACCCTCCATCACCAAAGCCGGGCAATTGGGAAGTCTAGACACAGGAACACAAACGAACGAACATCGGATCCATGTGGATCCACGGAAGACAAACGCAGATCGAATCCCACGAGATCTGCCAGAGACAAACCTCCAAACGCCCTCTGATGACGCTAACAAACACCTACACCACCTCTCTGAGATGACTCAATGCAAAGTGTGTAATGGTTGCGCCACCTTCCTTTGGTCAGACATATGATCCTCCCAAAACCCTTAGCCAATACCTTCTCGGCACTACTCCCACCACTAAAACCATAATGCCCTTGTCTAAAAAATTTGTGCATGATGGGATCGAGCTTGCACTGTGTAATAGACTAACCAATGTCATGGCTCATGATGACCATTGCGTAATACTCCCTCCATTCCATAATATAGTGCACCCATGCTTTTCAAGATCCAAGTTTAACCGTAAATTTAACCAACAAGGCCAACTGTGGCGGGAGCAAAAATTATATGAATTCAATGATATAATTTTTGCTCCCGCCACAATCGGCCTCATTGGTTAAATTTACTGTCAAACTTGAATCTTGCAAAGCGCGGGCGCACTACATTATGGAATGGAGAGAGTATATAGACTAACCAATGCATTGTGCCCCTGTTGTGCACATGATGACGAAGACTGCCCCACCTTCCCATTCACTGCCCCGCCGCTACCAACATCTGGAGAAAAGTTGACATCAAAACCGATTTCCACGCCATTCGAGCAGATTCTCAACTCCTCTATCCCAGATGGCACATCGACGGTATCTCCCTCACCTACGGAGCATCAGTTCAGTTATTATTGTATTTTGGGCACTTCTGCTCCATGATGATTAGGACCCAATCCATCTAAATTTTTCTTCGCAGCAAATGCATCAAGCTCAAGATCACCAAAAGTCCACAACCACGCTAACTGTTCGGTAATCCACCAACTCCCGGAATTTGCGGAGCGAGGAAACTGCAGCTCCGTCATTTTCAACTGCAGCTCCGCTAGCTTCGGGAGCAGAGTTGTGGAGCGGAGCAACACCGAACAGAGCCCAAGTATCAACTACATCGATTCCACAAGCTCAACCACAGCAAGTCTCAAATGCATCGACTACACAGTAATAAGTCTCAAGTGCAAAGTTTCCTCCATAGAAGATTTACAAATCACAATGCAAACATAATGCTCACGCTTGGATAAGTTTCCTACATAGTAATAAGTCTCAAGTGCAAAGTTTCCTCCATAGAAGATTTAAAAATCACAATGCAAACATAATGCTCATGCTTGGATAAGTTTCCTACACAGTAATAAGTCTCAAGTGCAAAGTTTCCTCCATAGTACCGATCATATGTTCCTGATCCATAACCCCGAACAAGAAACGACCATCGACTAAACCAGACAGACATGAAAAGTAGCCAGGGAAGTAATCATAAGCCTCTAGCTATACAGAAGAATGGTTGCTGAATTGCTGCTTTGAACCGAGGCAAGCAGGACCAAGAAACAGGCCTCTGTAACCATCTGGGTGTAACGCCCCGAACACATCCGCTGGTGGTCGTTACTTCTGGTGGGATCTAGACTGGCCCCACAGATCAATACTAGTCTTTTCTGCACAATTTGTCCTCACTCGTGCGCACCCAGGAGCAACATCCTGGTCGGTCACCCATCCTGAAATTACTTCAAGCTGAGTACACTTAACTTTGGAGTTATGTCCGAATGGGCTTCCGGAAAAGAAGGAATTCCTTATTGATATGAGTAGTCTATCATCCCTCTTAAGCCAGGCTATCACATACACCCCCTCTCAGAGGAACCGACGTCCTCATCGGGCCATAAGAACGTTCTCTCTTGGCACATACGGCTGTGCATCCAGTCCGGTACATGTGCCATGTCGGGTGCCACGACGGGTCACAAACGTCATGAACAACATGACCGTGCACCTATCCGCAAACATCCGTGTAACCGCGAGGGTTGGCTCTGATACCAACTTGTAACGCCCCGGACACACCCGCCGGTGGTCGTTACTCCTGGCGGGATCTACACTGGCCCCACAGATCAATACTAGTCTTTTTTGCGTACTTTGCCCTCACTCGTGCGCACCCGGGAGCAACTTCCCGGTCGGTCGCCCATCCTGAAATTACTCCAAGCTGAGCACGCTTAACTTTGGAGTTTTGTCCGAATGGGCTTTCAGAAAAAAAGGAATTCCTTATTGATATGAGTAGTCTATCATCCCTCTTAAGCCAGGCCATCCCCAACTTAGGAGCCCCCTGCTTGATCGAATCGCTGACGTTGTTGAGTCTAGAACAAAATGTTTTGAGTCTTAGTATATTATACACACACACACACACACAAACACACACACAGACACAGACACACACACACACACACACACACACACATATATATATATCAGAGTGTAGGATTCTTTTTACTCCTCAGTCTCTTCGTCGCTCTGGTGAGGCCTTCTGACGTAGAAGTTTTGACTTTTCTCTCCTCAAATTTCATGATTTTTTTTAGGATCACGCGGGTATCTTGGAATCGTTCCGATGGTTTTGTGATGAGAACATTGTTCTTGGTGCCTCCTGACATTTAGGGGTTGTGGCAGTGTCCCAGGGAGTTGAGCTCCGAGGTGTTGTCGTCACAATTTTATCGTTGCAGTTCTGGAATACCTGAGTTTTCGCCGACATCGAAAATCTCTTTTATGCAGTTGTTGGTGAGATAACCTCGAAACCACCCAGTACTGTGGCCGGAGTTCGGGAGTATTGCCATAACTCGTATAACGGATGCTTTTCGAAGGTTGAGGTAAACAATTTCCGAAGGTTTCTTGGTTATGTATTGAAGGATGAATACAGCTGGATGTAGGATTTGCTAGTTTTGGGTGAGATATTATGCTTCCCCTGTATCCCCAATACCTGATTGCATAACCAGAAAGTTTCGGGAGTTTATAAGTGGGAATTCAAGTAGCCCTTAGGATATCTTTCCGACAGATGCATGATACGAGATTGGGGTTCGACGTCTAGTGGTCCGCCTATCCACGGTTGGTTTTACAGTGGTCTCGTTGTGTCCTAAAGAGTCCTTGGCTATGCTGACTCGGGGACGCTTCGTATGTCATGTGCACTGCCTTGTACATGATGGTGATGTACGATCGAGCCCGTGTGGGCCCCACCACAAAAACTTCGAACGAAATCTCTATCATATGTTTGTTCCGGCTTATTTTGCAAGCCAATCCTTTGTTTCTGTTTTCAGTTGTGGTATTCGAGTTGCTTCGAAGTCAAGTGTTGATTCCATACCTTTCCTAAGCGGTGTTCTCATACTACTATGTCAATACTAATCCTTCATGATAATCGCGATTGTCATGTCAATCCTTTTCAACCGGCGTGTTTCTGTTCAAGTGGACCCGATCATTTCAACATCCGCAAGATCACCTCTCGATTTTTTCTCAATGTTGTTCGTTTCATCTGTCCCCAAGTTGCCTTTGTTTTCCCACCCTCCCACCCTTGTTTTGTCAAGGACTCGGATTTCTTAATCAAATATCCATTTTATTCTTGTGAAGTCTCTCCACTCTTTTTCGTCAATGTTCTTATACGGCGATTCTCAGGAAGATACTAACGGAGCTTCAAGTTCATCATTCTTAACTCTTTTTCTTCCCTGGTGGATTCAATCCAAGATTTCGGTGTTAATCTTACCCTTTTCCTCTTTTCACAATGCTTTCTCATACCGGTGCACCTCTTAATCGTTCATCTCTCTATTCATATCCGAAGTGCTGAAGATATCTCGAAGATTCGTGTTTGCACTCTGTATTCGTTCAGGCTCTTTCGAGATTGTTATCTCGTCAAGCCATTTAATTCAACCGGTGCAATCTCTCTTTTAAATCTCTCCAACGGTGTATCTTTTGAGTGGGCCTTAACCCACAGGTCTTTTCCCAGGATCTTACCTGACCCTTCTTATTTTCCCGGAGCTAACCTAAATTCTTTCAAAATTGACGTAAGAATGAATTATCATCAGCCATTCGTATTGCTCCAAGATCTTTTAAATTCTTTTCATTGTTAGCTCAACCTCTTCGCTTTTTATTATTCCGGAGTGCCTCAATAACTCATGTTGATGTTTCGCATCGTCATTTTCAACATTTGAAGACCGAAGAAGATTGTCTCTCAATCTTGCTCCTTTCTCTCAGAGATGTGTAGTTCAAGCGTGATACCATCCTCTCATCATTGTTTTAGATTGTGAGATTTCTTTTCACCCATCCGGAGCATTTCTGAGTGGTTTCCATTTCTTCCTCCGAAGGCCATCATTTCGGGTTTATTCATTCCATCTTTCAGCTATTGTTCTCCAAATCTTA